TAAATAAATAATAAAATAAAAAGATAGAATCAAAGTCCATAAAATAGTAAATTTTGTTTACCAGAATTAAGCATTCTACAGATAAAGATCTTGTATTCCTGGACAATCTGATAGCCCAAGTCTCCTTCTGTGATGACGGGTGCATCAGCATTTATAATTTTGCTGGAGCAGACCAGACTGAGACAGTGGATTACATGAACAGCAGAGCACCGCACGGTGAGGGCTGACTATGCATTAGACACCCGCTTCCTCACTGTTCTCACACGTAATACTATTCTAAATCTCCATTTCATTCTGTTACCTACAAGAATCTATTTCTCTTGCCCAAAAGCTGTTAACACAAGGGCAGCCTTTTACTTTATATAGAAATAACATTACTTAACTGTACTTTGAAATCATTCTTTTTTTTTATTTTGCCCTCAAGTCCTTTTTAAAATGTAAATGTACTTTCATAAGAGTTTTAAATAAAATATGACTAATACATGTGATACAGTCCATTTTTCTAAAGACCTTACAACAAAAGAATATTTGGGTTGGGGCAAGGGGAAGATTAGTGGCCAGTCCATTAAGGAAAAGCCAGTTTCTTAGGTTGAACCATATTATAATTCTTATTACCACTACCATCCTTCATAATTTAAAAATGACACCACTAATGAAACTGGCTTCTGGGCGAGGATATTATGAGAATGAGAGTTTTCCTGATGTGACAGAATTTCAGCAAAAGCTTTAAAGCTGAGAATAAGGACAGGCAAGTTTCCTATACACACTAAAGAGAGGCACTAAATACACCTGCACAGGAATTACTTAAAAGAAAAAAAAATAGTCAAAAACAGGACTAAAACCAAAGTAGGACTGAAGTGAGGGAACAAGATAGAAAGCTGTTAGCCTTGTAAGAACTGCTTGGCCTTACCTCACCCATGTACTGGGGGCTGCCAGGGGGCACCCAAGGAGATTACAACTGCATGTAAGATGAGCTCCCCTCCTCTTCCCCACCCTCAGCTGGATGCTTAACTAGGTGAGGAATTCCACGGGCAACTACCAAGGCAGAGTGTGGAAGAGCTCACAGCAGAACCTGACACGCATCCTTAGAAACAGGAGGGTGTACAAGACAGACAATTAGATGTCTCTTCCGACTGCAGAAGTCCAAAGGTAGGAGGCTGACTACTGCCACTTATGCAGTAGGAGTTGTAGAAAACAAAATGTCATGCTTCTTGTGGCCTAAGTAGACATCATAAAAGGTGATCCAGTGAAAGCTGTCCTGAGAGGACCCAACACAAGAAGTCTAGGTGTAAGGGCAAGGGGAACCCAGCAGGACGCAGAGGAGTGAGATCCTTCCTCACAGTCACAAGAGGAGTCAAAGAATGCAGCAGCGTTGAGGCCCCCAGGAGAGTCTTGAAGAGCCCATACTGTTCCTCTTCAAGAGCTAGCGGGTCACCACACAAAAAGGGCAACAGCTGGCGGGGCGACGAACATCGCTATTTGGCTCTATACTTTCATCCCTCTCATTCCGACCCCAGAGAAATTAGGCAAGCAGAGAAAGGAAGAGGAGGGAAAGCAGAAGAACAAACCACACCCCCTTGTCGGCTACAGAGGGCACAATGAGGCTTAAGCTAGAGAAGCAGAAAGTTTGGGACTGCATTGGAATTGCAAAGAGTAGGCTTGGAAGTTTTCATTTCAACTGGACTGCATTTTTTAATAACCTAATTATGAAGCTGTTTGAATCCACGAAGGTGAAAAAAAGCTATGGAACATCGCAAGGTCAGGAATGGAGATCAAATAGAACTTGTTGAAAGGGGAGTTTTCAAGCTATTTCATGACTACGTCCCACTGCATAGAATCCTTTTTATAAAATGCTTACATTTTCAACTGTTCCATCTTCCAATATCACACACAAACCTTACCTTTGAAAGAAAGCCTTCCGCCTCTGCACTGTATCTTTCAAGGTCCTCATGCAATTTCTGCAAACACTGTATGACTCTTCTTTGATGTTCATCGTCCTTCAGCTCATGAGCTTTGATCAGAAAGTCATAGTGGTCCAGAGGTCCATGGCAAACAGCCAAAGCTTTCAAATAGGCCTCAGAAGCAGCAGTTCGGGTCACACTGTCAAGTGTCTGAACTGTGTAGGCTATAAATAAAAACAAACATTAAGTTTTAGACTTTTTAAAAGATATTTCATAGTGTTCCACATGGGACACATTAAAACTTTTAAACAGTTATAACTTTATTTATTTTAGCAGTTTTTATAAATATCACCTTTTTTGTTTTTGTGGGGTTTTGTTTGTTTTTTGAAACAGTCTCACTCTGTAGTTCAAGCTGTCCTTGAACCCACTATGTAGCCCAGGCTGGCCTCGAACCCATGGCAACCCTCCTGCCTCAGCCTGCTGAGTGCTAGGATTAGTCATGTGCCACCATGGCTGGCCCTATAGATCTCACTTTTATTAAAATAACATAAAATAAATCATATATATAAGATATATACACACATGTTTGTGTATGTATGTATGTATATATATATATATATATATATATATATATGTTGTTATTTTGCCCTCTGCTGGGGATTGAATCAAGGGCTTTGTGCATACTAGGCAAGCACTTTGTCACTGAATTACTGTATTAACCTCAATAAATGTATTTCTAATTGACCATTTGAAAAATATGCTTAAAACTATACACTACAATTATAACCCCTCTTCTAGAAAGCCTGATCGGCTACAGAGTCTCTGTTTTGCCTCTGTACCATTAAAGTAGCCACCTAGGTTCCTCTTTTCCTTCTCCAAGGTAGGGAGAGTGGTGCTTTTTTTGAGTTAGGCCTCACTCTTCTGGTGCTTTGAGACTTAAGAGTTTTTCTACTGCCCCTTTATTCTCTACACAAAACAACACAACACAGTTCATCAACTTCAGGCCCCTGCTTATGAGATTTTCTTCCCTTTTCTGTGTTCAATCTTGAAGGTTAGTTCAAAGCAGAATGGTGTCCTGCTTCTTTCTTTAGCCACTCCTGGGACAGAAATGATTGGCTGACATGAAATCCAATCATAATCCCATCCCTACCCTTGATCTCAGCCAGAAAGTGAAGAAATGATAATAATTCCATTCTTTCTTTGGGCAAGATTTACTAGGCAGGTGATTCCCTGTTTGTTTGTTAGTTTGTTTATGTGCTAGGGATGGGACCCAGGATCCACCATGCTAAACACATGTTCTTGCACGGAGCTATTCTCCCAGCCCCCTCTCTTATTTTTCAGAAGCAATAAGCAGAAGCAGCCTTTGCTCCCCTCCCCGCAACTGAAGTAAAAGTGTGAACCAGGTTGGAAGAGCCCTCGGTTCTTTCATTTTCTGAAGCCAGCAAGTGAGAAACCTCAGAGTAACAGGAATTTCTCTTCCTCCATTCCACACCCTTTTCTCTACCATTCAACAAGTTTCTCAGCAATCAATCATCAGTGTTACTCCATCCTGTGCCCACTCCCTCCTCCCCTCTTCTTACTGCCTACCCACACCGGGGGCTCATTATCTCTCATCTGAGCTATCACAGTAGACTCCCTGCCTTCAATTGCCTTCACGGTCCCGAACTTACCATTATCATCATCTCTAAAATATCCTCCACAAGTAGAAATGCAATTTCACTAACACTTTCCTTGTGTCAAAAGACAAAATTCCAACAAATTTAAAGATCTTATGGGACCAGGTGTGGTGGCACATGCCCATAAGGCCACCACTGGGGCTAGGGTGCCTCTGAGGTAGGAGGGTCGCAACTCAGCAAGACCCTGTCTCAAAATAAAAAACAAAAACAAACTAACAACAATAACAACAAAAGATCTTACTTGGCATTCTCTGGGATTTTAGAACTGTACGAGTATTTATCCCATAAAATAAAATGGGCATTCTGATGAGCTGAGCAGAGGTTGATTCCATAGACACAGAAGGATTGAGAAAAGCAGAAACAAAAAACAAAAAGTGGATCAGTTGTTTCCAAGTTATTGTCCATGTAAAGGCGAGAGACTTCCTCGTTATGTTGGCTAGAACTGGCCTGTTCAGGAATTTGGCCAAATCTCTTGGTTCCTGGGAAGGTCATATACACACATCTGACTTGATGATATGGAACTTTAGCCTGAGCACTTCCATTCTGGTTTGGTCTGATGGACCCTAATGCACAAGCTCAGTCCAAATTGATGACTTCTTCTTCTAAAGTTGGTTTAACACTTGAAGTCCATCACACTGTTTAAATGAGTGGCTTTTAAACTTCATTTTAATAGTAAAACCTTTTCTACATATAAAATCTTCCATGGAATCCTCAATTTATTAAGGAAAAAAGTGAGAAGAAGAGGGCACAAAGCCCCACCCTGGTCACCACTCCTCTTACCTACATCCACACCACTCCCATTTTCCTGAAGCTACTTCTCCATCCTATAGAATCACATTAAGTACAAATTATGTGCAGAGGGTTAACACAGCAGGCCCGAGACTGCTTTCCATACACAGGCCCGCTTACAAGATTGCCCCCGATGGAAGCTGAATTTCAAGAGGTTCTCTTTGTTCCGGAAGTGGTAAGAGCGATTCACTGCGCCCAGACTTCTGTACAATGCACAGTGTAGCTTCAGACGAACGTAGCTTCCTTCAACCAGTCCAGAACACTGGCACATGCTAGGCAGAGGGTGCCTGTGCAGCCAGCCCCCAGCAAAAACCCAGACCCTGTATCTCAAATGATCTTTCCTAACAGATACCATTTCATCCCTGTTGTCACAATCAGTTGCTAAAGAATGTTCTACGTGACTCGCCCTACCGGCAGAGAACTCTTGGAAGCTTGTGTCTGATTTCCTGCAGACTTTGCTCCACGTACCTTTTCCCTTTGCTGACTGAGCTTTGTAATGAGCTTATTATCATTTCTTCACTTTCTGGCTGACATCAAGGGTAGGGATGGGATTATGATTGGACTTCACATCAGCCAATCATTTCTGTCCCAGGAGTGGCTAAAGAAAGAATAAACCTGTAATAAACGCTGTAATAAACCCTACCCATGAGTACGATTATGTGGTGAGTCCTCCTAAAGAGTCCGCAAGCTGCAGTGGTCTTGGGAACCCCTGACACAGAGGACACCCTGCTTCTAGGATTCAAAAAATCCATAAAACAGCCCCAGCCTGAATTCAACTCTGCTCACCTTATGTGCTTCAAAATATTCACTGATAAAAGAAATTATCAACTACCCACAGCATGGGGTAGGGAATATAAAAGCTTTTGTCTGTTTTTAAATAAGTGTGGAGGGACCAAAAAAATAGAGCAGTGATATATAGACTATCTGGCAGGGAGAAAGAAAATAGCAGAGCTGTGATCAGTAGCAAAATTCACCCCCTCTGAGACCCAACATCTAGACCCTGAAAAAAAACAACTTGTCAAAGAAAAATAAAGAGAGAGAGAAACAGATCACCAGCAATCAGGAGAAAGAAAAGAATGAGAAGTACAGAGAAGGTGGAAACACAGGGCACGACGCAGAGAAAAGAAGGGCACAGTTTGGACTTTCTCCCTGGCTCTGGTAGCTTGAACCAGGCTCCCCAGAAGCAAGGTAAGCAGCCAGGTCTGGGAGAGGCAAGCAGAAACACAGCAGAGCCAACAGCCTTTGGTTTTTTGTTTGTTTTGTTTTTTCTTTGTGGTGCTGGGGATCAAACCCAGGGCCTTGTGCATGAAGGCAAGAACTCTACCACCGAGGGACATCCCCAACCCAACCAACAGCCTTTGTGAACTGCAAAAACAGTGTGGGGTTTTGCCCCACGGGGACTCCTTCCACATGGCAGACAATAACTGGAGGGGGATTCAAGCATGAGCAGCCACCATATCACCAGCGCCTGATCAGGCACCACTTCAGGAAGGGGTTGATTATTTAAATCTGGGACTCACTAACTAACAACTTTACTTTAGGACTCCCAGTGTTACCCTCCCACAGTGACTGGTGAGAGATGGTTACAGGAGACAGCCTCGGACAGGGAACCATAGCTCTTGCCATGTACTAAATTAAAATAAAAAAGACTCAAAGATCTAGATATTAAAACAGAGACAGTGAATCTGCTGGAAAATAGATAAAAATTGTGAAGATATAGGTGTAGCAAGAACCTTCTGAACAGAATCCCAATTGCACAAGAAATTACATCAAAAACCAACAAATGAGCACATGCTTAACATATGCAAAGCGCTGGGTTCAATCTCTAGCACGCCCCTAAGAAATACTTTGTAATACTTTGTTAAATAGTGGACAAAAACTCTCATTAGATTTAGTTATATTAAATACCATACATTTTGCTTATATATTTTCCTGGGTTTGGTTTCAACGGCAGAACGTATGCTCTTTGAGGGCAGGGATTTTTGTTGGTCTTGTTTGATGCTGCATTTGCCACTAAATAGGAGCTGGTATGTGGGAGGTGTTTATCAGTTCTTTAACCCATGACTTCCAACCTTTGCAGAGATCTCATTCCTCTCATTAACCACCTTTTTATTCTATCATCCACCTTCCCCTCTCTACTAATTTCTTCCTGTCCCTCAACCCTTTCCCTCATTTTCACAAAATATCAACAGTGGTTGAAGGGAAGGGAAGGAAGGAGGAAAAAAGAATCAAGTTACATCATGTACAGGTACAAATTCCATATGATGGATACAATCATTATGTATATCTAAAATGTACCAATAAAATTAATTTGAAAAAAAAGAAAACACCAACAAAGCCAGGTATGGTGGTACACACCTGTGAGCCCAGCTACTTGGCAGGCTGAGGCAAGAGGATCACAAAGCCAGCCTTGGAGACTTAATGATACCCTCTCTCAAAATAAAACAAACAAGGGCTGGGGATACAGCTCAGGGGTAGACACTTGCCTGGCATACATCAGACACTGGGGATCAATCCCAGTACTGCCAGGAAGGAAAAGCAAAAGACCACCAACCACTGTAACAAGTGAGCCTCCTGATCCCACAGCGATGGCACGTCTGCCCTCCCTCTTGGCCTGCATGGACAGACCATTTGGGCATGGAAACCTTACTTCTTGTGGCCACTCCCTCACATCCCCCTCACCCCTCAACTGTGATCAGATCTCTGCCAAGGTCACCTAGGGAGCACTGCTGCCAATCCAGGAGCTACTCCCAGCCTTC